TTTTTCGGACACGAACTTATTTCTTGGTCTTCCAAGAAACAAAACTCGGTTGTACTATCTAAAACTAAAGTTGAGTACATTACAGCTAGTGCATATTGTGCACAAGTTGTATAGATGAAAAACACTTTAGAGGATTATAAGATTCATCTTAAAAATATTCCTATAAAATGTGATAACACAAGTGCAATATGTTTAACAAAAAATCTCATTCAACATCCTAGAACTAAATATATTGATATTAGGCATCACTTTATATGAGATCATGTTAATAATCATGATGTAATCTTAGAGTTTATTGATATAAAATATCAATTAGCTGATATTTTTATAAAGCCATTAAGTGAAGAATAATTTGATTTTATTAGAAGAGAATTAGGAATGTTAATTTGTCTGAATGCATGAATTTAATATATATCTTTTCCGGACTATCTTTCTCTTAATGTATTTTATGAATGAAGCTTTTATAAATTTATTTCATTTTTATCTTCCTTGATATCAAGATTACTTTACATCCTTGCTCCATCACTTAATGATTTTTTTATGAGAAACATATTCATGATTTATGAAGTCTCATTCATGTGATGTTCCTCTCTCATGAATTCTTCCTTATTCTTCTCATAAAACATGAATTTATGAATTCCAATGGATATCTTAATCCTTTAAAGATGAATTTTCGTGTGTGATAATTATTTATAAGATTGGGGATTTGATTTCGTATGGATATCTTGATTCTTTTCATAAATCCCTTCTCTTTGTCTAAATAAAAGCATGTTTTAACAAAAACTTATTTATTATTTTTGACTTGATTCAAATCATTTCACAAATTTAGTTCTTAATGGATTCCCTCCTTACCTTCCTAAAGTTGCGATGACAAAGGGAGAGAAGTTGATAGAATCTATCACTTTAATGTTGACAACATTTAATGATGAGAACTTTTGAGTGTGAAACTTGCTTGAATTTTTTTACCACACTTGCATTGTTGAATTGTTCTCCTTTTTGTTGATGATAAAGGGGGAGAAATAATACTAAAATGTGGTAAATTGATGACAAATGTATGCAATATATTTCATCATATATACTTAAAATGTTTGCTTAAATTTCTTTCATTATGATAAGATATCTAGAGCTTAACTTGCTATTTTACAATAGATATCTTACCTTAGAATAATGAATTGCTATCTTTGTCATCTTTCATATTTGAAATATCATACTTGAAAATGGATATCATGACTTGACATCATACTTGGAATCGTATCTTGAGAATATTAGATCATGATAAGAATCATGATATGCATGTTGATAAGTCTAATGAACTTATCTTATCAGTTTGTTTCTTGAATTCAAAGCCCTTGAAATCAAGAATGTTTTTTCTCAAGTATAATATATAGATAGGGGGAGTTAAGGTTAACTCCGTCTTGATTGTCATCATCAAAAAGAGAGAGATTATTGAATCTCTGATTTTGATGATGAAGTCAATTATAATTTGTTTGATCTAATTTATATGTTAAAAAAAGTGTGTAAGATTAACTACGATAGCAGTAAGACATAAAGCAGGTATTGTGCTGGAGTCAAGATTGAGATCTCATTGGGAGTTCGAGAGTTCATCGGAAGTCCGGACGTTCGTCGGAAGTTCTGCCTGAACCAACCAAGAAGTCTAGGAGGTTGCCAAAGAAGATCATCGGAACTCACCAAGAAGATCATCGTAAAGTCCAAGAGCTTGCCGGAAGTCCACCGGAGCATCGCCGAGAGTTCGTCGGATGTTCACCGGAAGCTCGTCGAAAGAGCAATTGATACACCAGAACAAGAAGTACTATGATTATGTCTTAATTATCATTGTTAAATCATAAATTAAGTTAGGAATGAGAGATAATCCTAATAAATTAATTAGGGGTAAACTGGGTCGTTAACAGGGCTGAATTAGGTTGAATTGAGCAACCCATTCAGCCCCTAAATTCTTGGCCAATGGTGGCACCACCTAAAAAGCAGTGCCCTAGGATTTCTAGGAGGTGGTACCGCCAGCAGTAAATGCTGCCAGCGGTGGTACCATCAGAGCTCGGTCTCTAAGCTCTATTAGGCGGTGGTACTAGGTGGTGGTACCGCTAGTACCCCGAAAATCTGGGATGAGACATTTTTTTGCTCCAATTATGAAGCTATTGAGGCTTATAAAAACCCCACCCTTTTCTGCATGAAAAGACATGAAAGTATTGAGATAATCTTGAGTTATTGGGGTGTAAAATTATTGTAAACAAGTGCCAGAGTCCTCCTCCTCTCTTTCTAAGTTTTGAGATCATTCAAGAGAAGTGTGAGAATTGTAAGGGTTCTCTGCTAAACTCATGAAAAGGAGAAAGTGCTATAAAAGGTGGTTGGTCTTTGTCTATTGATGGAAGGCCTTTAGTGAACGCCGGTGACCACAACGAAAGAGGAATCCGAAAGTGGATATAGGTCACAAAGATCGAACCACTCTAAATTTTGGTTTGCTTTTCAATTTGTGCAAGTTACAATACTGCAAGCCACATTACCGTCTTACTGCCTTCTCTACACTCACATACGCTTTTAAGTTAAACTCCTTAAGTTACAACCGACAAGTTGACTCCACGTGGTCGACACCTCAGTTCCACGTGGAGGTCACATCAGCTCTGTGTGACCGACCAGTAGGCTCCATATGGTTGACACTTTGGTTCCATACGGAGGACACATCAACTCTGACCAATAGGTCTCATGTGACCGACTCGTTCGATCCATTTGAAAGACACCTAGACATGGTAGGCCTCATATGACTGACATGGTAGAACCACCTAGCCAATCGTTCATCACCTCCTTAGCACCACACAGACTTCCTGTATGGTCAATAATTGGCCACACCTAATAAATGTCAAGTGTTATACATCGCTAGATTCAATATAAATTGATGATAATTATGACCAAGTCCCATGTCGCCATTATTGCATGAATTGTGCAAAAATAAACAATTTCAAGAGTCTCTATAAAAAGGAATAAAGGAACTCATAGGTACGTCGTGACACC